CCCTTGCGTCATAGGGCAGATGTGAATTTTAAGGATGAAGCAAACGTATTTTTGCTATAACAATCGACTACATTACTTATTTTTCGGATGTAAGTAGAGTTTCGAGACTACCAATAAATCAGTAATATAGAAACGTCACCTCTACTCATATCATTGTGCGAAAACTTTACTACTAGTCATTTATCACCTTAAACGAAATATGCTGAATACGTCCCATATAACTGATTTACTGGTAATCGTTAAACCCTGCTAATATACGAAAAATAAGTAATGTAGTCGAATGTTATATAAAAAAAACGTTTGCTTCATCCACAATCCCACCAAAGAATGTGATATAGGAAAAGGCCTGGCCTTCCTTGATATTAACATCGGTCCTGTGACCCAAGAGCACTCGTTGCAATGTGGCCGATTGGTTAACGTGTTGAGCTCACATGCTGCACTGTCACTATTCGAATCCCGCTGGGTGTGTTTATAAGACCTTGCGAGGTCGAAACGGCACTCCACCCTGAATAAGAACAACTTTTGGGAAAGCAAGGCTATGTAAAACTATATGGAAACTTCCGGTTTAATCATTTCATTGTGGAAAAATTTTAATATCAGCCTTTCATTACCTTAAACAAAATAGGGTGAATACATTTCATATAAAAGTCATTAGACCATAATCCTTTGCTTCGCAACTTAATTCAGAATATATGCGAGAGTTATTTTCAAGTTATATAAAACAGACTTATTTCATTTCCTTCCAGACAAAACTATTTCGTCAAAAATGGTCTTTCTTTACACGAATGTGTCTCGTCTTTCACAATAAAATAAGGGTCAACAATTTAAGAAGAGAATTAATAAGCAAAAACGAGTTTTGCCTAGTTGTTAAAAAATGTTGTTTTTTTAATATTGAATGTTTTTTTTGTTTTCATGGCGGCCAGAGAAAAACATCCCAGTTTGGCTGAATTGTGTCCAGACCAAAGAAGTGACTTAATATTTTCTGGATCCTAGCCACATTCTATCATTCGAACGAAGCTTGCATTTTCAGGATATATTGTCAAACATAGTGTCATAACAACGTTGGAAAAGTAATCACTAATATGCTTGACTCTAATAATGTAGATATCAGTTGTCATATCTGAAATGAATTACCGTGTATCATTTTGAAAAGCAAATTAGAACGAGAGTCATCGACGAAATCAATTACACATGGACAATATGGCTGGCAGAGCAATGTAACAGCTTAACTTTTTAAAAGCCTTATCTTAACGACCACACGAATTAAGAATATTCTACCCAAACCCAGCCCGGATGGGACCGAGTCTTGAGAATGCCTGATGTATTATATTCCACTGTTCATGTTGTCGTAATTGGTTTAGCTACCATCGCCCATAGCGGTATCCGAGTGACAGCAACAGGTACGCAAGTACGATTTGTTCCCAACCAATCAAAGCAGGCTGCCGTAAATTGCATTGAATAGTCCATATTTTATGGACAATATACCACCGGAGAACCTGCCAAGGTGAAATAGACTCGACTCCTGAAACGACATAGGAGCAGATGCGCGTGCAGATGAATGAAAATAAATGAACGAATGCTGTTACAATGACAATATACCATATCGTAGTTGTGTTTTTATCCATGCCCTTGTTCGTCAAAGTATTTTGTAAATGGTCGTTTCTGTCTAACCTTAATCAAAAGCGGGACTTGTACTCCCCAAAACTGGCCTCAATGAGATTGAAGTGCCAATGAGAGCTGACCGATGCTGTTAAACTTCCCATCTGTTTGGCTCGAATCTACCTCCGAATCCCAATTTAAGCTTCCATCCTGCCTGAGTGCATAGACAATGGCAAACTCGGCAGATTTTCTTGTTTCAAAGGGAATAAAGAATCACGAGGATGTGCATAATTGGCATAAATCACGGTTTATCCTATAATTTGGCTTTAAAAAGACACAACAGCTGTTTTGAGATCAAGAGCTTGCCTTATAATTTGGGAGATTCGGAATCTCCTCATAATTATGGCATCCTTGGCTCTACTAGCGCGGAGGTATTTACAAATAAAGACACAAAAATGGGTACTTTCGCGTCTCACCTTCGATGGGAATGTCGCGAATATGAGCGCCCCCATCTTTGATAATACAATTGACTCGGACAATCCGTTGGTCTCCTCTGAACTCGGTTAGTCCGTTTGGGATCAATCCCTCATACTGGGTAGTTGACGTGAAAGAATACCTTTGCTCCTTAAAGTCGTAAACTTTGTACTCGTACTTTAGTCGAGAGAGGCTCAGAACTTGTTTTAATTCGCCCGTCTCCGTTTCAATCACCTCGTCATAAAGAAAGCATCCTTTTATATTTTCTCCGATCCTGTAGTACGGCTTGCTCGGCTTGATAATGGCAATTTTGCGCAAATTCACAAAAGTGCTGCCGTTGGCAAGAACGAGGTGACTAATGGTCGGGAGGAGAATCGAAAGTGATATCACATAGTATAGAAAACGTAGGAATGAGGAATGGCAAATCATTCTGGTTCCAGGCGCCTCCATGTCAGTTCTGAGAAGCGCAAGTTTGACCGCCCCGAGAGATCAATATACAGTGAATATTTGAAATCTACTGGCTCATGTTAAATTCACATGTTTGCCGGTTATTCCATGAATCGGCCAGCTGCATCCGGACGAACCTCTGTTGTGTCCTTCCCAAAACTACAGCAGACCACAATGAAGGCCTCAGTGCTGTTCGACTTGAACTGAAGGTCTACCAGAAGTTGTTGGTGCTTCGGGGGCTGGTGATCAACCCACTCGGGGCAAAGTAGGTGACACTTTTCACTTAGATTTGCCTAGCATCAGACCCCAAGGTGCTCTATTTCTGGGCCTACAAGTCTAGAGTTTGCCATATCAACAGCATATGATATAGCAAAGTTTAACAGGGCGGTGTATCCTCTAAGATTAAGAGTTGACAACAAAGGTAGTGAAATATGGAATGCCAAAATGAATGATATAAAAAATAAAGGAAAGTATATGAGATGTATTCACCCTATTTGCTTTAAGGAAATAAGTAGACTAGAAGCTGAAATTTCCTACAATGATATGAATATAAATTTCGCTTCGGGGGAATTTCACACATTAATGCTGGGACTTTCAGATGGTGTTCATCACAGCCTTGCTTCTCAAAATATATTCTTATTCGGAATGTTCTGCGGTTTCGATCCCGCCTGGATTCCATTTGCACCTCCAGCGGGATTCGAACCGTATTAATGCAGCGTATAGTCTCAAAATGTTAACCATAACACCACATGCCACGTCTGCCCTCGAGTCACAGGGCAAATGTGAATTTAAAAAAAGGTCAGACATTTTCACATATAACATTCTGCGGTGGGATTGTCGATGAAGCAAAGTTGTAATCGCTATAGCGAATCGACTACATTACATATTTTTGTTTTATAACCAGGTTTTGGAGACTAATTTGAGGTGAACTCACCCTAATTCCCTTGAGGTGATAATTGGTTGTTGAATTTTTAAACATTGATATGAGTAGACCTTACCTTTCCATTGAATTTCTCACACCTTTACTTAAAGGGCATTCTCATCCCGGATAGGGTGGATGGAAGTTTCGGGATTATGCGCGCAACGTCATGGTTCGAGTTCCGCTATGGGTTCTGATGAGACTCAGGTGAGGTAAAACCTGCAGTCCCCTTCAGCCTGGATAAGAATACCTTTCAGGAAAGCAGAGCTAAGTGAAATTTAATGGAGAGGTAAGGTCTACTCATATCATTGTGAGCAACTTCGACTACCAGTCCCCTTATCACCTTGAACTAAATATGCTGAATACAGCTCGCATATATTGTTTACCAGAAGTCTCAAATACCTAATTATAAAACAAAAAATAATGACAAGTGGTTGATTATTAAAAATAGTAAATAGAAAATTTGTTTAATTTTCTGAATTTATTTATGAATAATACTTTCAATCACTCTAGGTTGTCTAAGGTGATGAAGGTCTGATAGTGAATTTTCCCACTATGATATGGATAGGCTTCAGAATGCAAGTGAATTCCGCTTTGCTTTGCTTCCAGAAGATATTCTCATACAGCGTCGAGGGTAGTTTCGATCTCGTCGGGGTTTCGTTAGCATCCCCAGCGGAAAGCGTATCCTAATTTAGGTGATGCTCAAACTCTAGCACCCGTCCTCAAGGGGTATACATCTATTATTGAGGGAGTGAGTTTAAGCAAAACCTCTGTTTTGAGATCACACATACTATCCACGTGTAGCAAAATTTCCCCTTTGGAGGTAGGTTGTAATAAATAATACGAGATTAGTTTGCTTGAATTTGGTTGTGACGAAGATACCTCGGAAACAGCGTCAACATGAGCCTTCCAGTAAAGCCAACCAACAGCTGGTCAAGAGAAATCCGTCGTCGTCTTCTGGTGGAACCGACCTTTGAATCTCTTCACCCAACACTTTCGCTCGAAATGGAAGTAAGCACAACTTGAATTTTCTCATGATGCTATGAGTAGAGCTGATGCCTCCATTAAATTAAATATAGCTTCGCATTTCTAAAGGGTGTTCTCATCCAGAATGTTCCGCAGCTTCGACCTCACCTAGGTCTTAGCATCCCCTCCAGCGGGACTCAAAACGAAATACGGTGAGTACACCCCATATGACTGATTTACTTGTAATCTGGAAACTATATTTATAAACGTATACCAAGTAATGCAGTCTGTCTTGTAATTCACATATGTTCTGTGACCTAAGGGCACTCATGACAATGTTGCGTAGGCGTTGCTGTCGCTTGATCATACGCTGCAGTGTCATAATTCGAGTCCCGCTGGAGGTGTTGATAAGACCTAGGCGAGATCGAAGCTGCAATCCACTCTAGAGTAGAACACCTATTTGTAAAGCAAGGCTATGCGCAATTCTAATCATATGATTGTGGGAAAATTTAGCTACAAGTCCTTCATCACCTTAAACGAACTAGAGTGAATACATCTCGCATATCTTATGATTTAGTTGGATATCCTATGCTACTCCTTCATGTTGTTGAAAAGTGAAGTGGCTGCAGATGAGGCATGAAAGGTATGCAATTGTGACCTAACAGCTTAATTCTCTCCTAAAACACATTTTTGTGATTCTGCAATGTTGCCGCATGTGATTGTGTTCCATTGCGCGTGTGTAGTGTGCATGCAATGCTCGTTAGACTCGTGGGATGTGAGACGAAAAACCGAATTTTCGGCTTTCCAAGCTTCCTCCTGTTGCTCGATAGTACTTCTTGTTCCCTTCATCTCCCTTTCTCTCTCACTATATATATCTTTTCCCTCCTATCCAACAGCCAAAAGTAGTTTTATACTTAATTTTCTACACTCATTCCTTCTATTCGATGCGTTGGATGTTTTTTTGATTTCTATCGCTTCCCTAATCTTCAACTTACCGGTTTAAGTCTCCATATATAGCTAAATGTTTGGTGTTAGATCAGTGTACCTGGTGTCATGTGTGCGATGTTTTCGGCCAGTTCTGACCTTTGGACCCACAAACCTTTGGACCTATTCAGGTCCTTGCCATGTTGCCATACGGTAAAGTAATCACCCATATACCTAACCAATAATTGAGGAAACACAAGTGAATTTCGTATATAGCGACTTTTTGAGTGAGTCATGTAGTTTTTGCTAAAATTTAGAAAACCGGTTTTTCTAAATGAGTATAAATATATTGGGATAAAAGTTGTGGTGCCATCTTCACTTCAACTACGAAGCGTTCCTCTGTTCTTAGCATGCAATTATTAATTAAAATGGGAACCCAGTAACCTCAGGATACAATTTCTTGCATCCATTCATAAAAATGCTTAGTTGATATTCCGTTTGTGCTACTCATGAGTAGAGTAAGTAATCGTATGACTGAGATCTGCTTAGATTTACTCTCTTGACTATATATAGGTGTATTTATTGACTAAGTCCTAGTGTTTGAATCTGCTGTCGGCTTCTGGTGAAATCGACCTTCAAATCATTTTATGGCATACTTTTGACTTAAAGAAGAAGTGAGTTTAACAATGATAAACCAGAAGGTTCCTTGAAATTCTCCTTTTCTTTGCATATACACTTTAATCTCTGAAGTATTTTTAATTCTACCATATTTTCTGCAACCCGGATTTCCCAAGAGAGCGCAGTGACAGGACACAATTTCACCCTCAATATTACTACCCCATGTTTATCAGTCATCATACTTATTAAGTAAACTCAAATTAATTATCGGACGAAAAGTGGTTTCCTTTAGCTCTACAAATTCATTCCACTTCGGCATATGATTTATGCCCACCAAGCTCGTCCCAAGAGGACAAGGCAAATCTACTAATTAGGACGGCATTTAACGCCGAGACCCAAGTCAATTGAAGCCAAGTAATCTGGACAATTTTATTTTTCACTTGGCTGCTCCAGGCCGGCAGTCTACATTCCCTCATTCCCTTGCCATTTCTCTCTCTCTCTCTCTCTCTCTTCAAACTCCATGCCTTTGCTTCTGTGCCACATTTCCACTCCTATCCTGGCAGACTCAAACCGTGGCCAGAAATTCGCTATTC